GGTCTGCAGGCCGCTGTGGTACAGCTGGGGTGGTGGGGACTCTGCGGGGTGTGCCGCGGGGGGCCGAGCCGTGGTACAGGTATTGTGCTCAAGGAGCGGCAGTAACTGATGTGGTATGGCTGTATGTGGATACTGTGTACGTTTCCCTGGTGCCTTTACTCGCAAAGGGTCGCCCATGACAGAGGAAACCACGAAGCTCTCTTCTTCCTAAAGCACTAGAGAAGTTGTCAAAGATTTTGGTGGTAATAAATTTAGTGTTGCTGGGGAAAACAACACTGCTTCAGCCACCAGTGGTTCAGATGTATCTTAAATGTCTTTTTGAAGATTATATCAAATAGTTATTTTTTGCTAATGTAATGCTGATACATGATTAGTAGGGAAGGGAGGTTTGTCCAGCTGGCCTCAGTCAATGGAATAACTTGAAATTTACCCTGCTTTTAATTTCAAAGGATCTTTGTGTACGCAACCGATGTTTATACTAGATTTACTTTGCATATGGGAAATTAAAGGAGAGCTACTTCTTAATTTCCAGCTCCAAACTGAAGGTCCTTCCAAACATCAGACATGCTAGTTAACTTTGTGGTAGTATTTTAATGTCACTCCTGCAGCTAAGGAGTTTGAGACCTGATTATGATAGTTTAACACCTTCCTATTTTTTTCTGTGATTTTCTGTATCGCTATTGGTACAATATGAAACAAGCTGGTATTTCAGATATTGATTCTAGTACTTTGATTTCACAACAGCGACTGCTTGTTACATTATGTTTGTCATGATTTCCTCTTGATTGTGGCTTATTATTTATCACATTCTGATTTAATATATTAATTAGTCTTGCTTTCCCTAGTATCTAAAGTTATCAGATGTTAGCAGCTAAAATCTGTAACTTTCATATATGAAGCTTTAAAATTTTCATAACAGAATATTAACCTGTTTTTTGTGTTAGAGCAAATGTTAGATTATGTGTCCTCTTAATTTTTATCAGCAATTGTAGCTCATGTGCTATGCAGGCAGGCAATATTTAAGTGCATTAAAATATACTTCCAAGAAGCCATGGGCAGACTCTCGGATTCCATTTAGAGTAAATGTATATGTTAAGATTCACAGGTGTAAAGGTAGAGTAGATAGCTTGAGGCTGTGCTGAACATGTGATGCACCTTTGAATAATCTTCAAAATTCATTCTAGTGTGTTTTTTCAGCCATTGCAACCTGAATCTAAGTCTTTTTTTGACTATGTAATCAACACTGACTGAAAACTTTCTTGGGGTTTTGAATGTTATTCTAATAACTTTGTTTTTTCTCCCTGGCTACTTTTGTAAGGTTTCTTTTAAGGCTTCCTATACTTAATTTTTTTTTTTTTTTGTAGGATTTAAACTACATTTCCTCACCTGCTCATTATATTTATTTCTTCATGCTCTCCTTTTCTCCACTCTTTTGCTACTTCTGAGGCCTATGATGAGCTTTGTCTTTCCAAAGACTAGAAATGACTTTACTGAAAACTTCCTGGTCATCTGGAGTGATCAGGATAGCTTTTCTTTCCATCTTAGTTGCTGAGTACATTTCCTACATAGTGCTATAATCTACCTGGTTTGAATTCACCTTGCTTCTGTATCTTCTTTAAGGTCTAGAATTTTGAGTTTCTATAATTAACTTGGATGTCCCTAAGATTAAGCAGACAAAAATCTGCAGTTAAAAAAATACTATACTTGTTATGTACTTTTCCGGGTCTGATGTACTCAGTTACAGAAAGTAATTGACAGTCTTGTCCTTGGAGATGTTCGTATAAGGTGACAACTACTTTCCTGGCTAGAAGAACTAGGTGGAGCTTGCTCTGGAAAGAAGTCAGAACAACATGTGAGTAGACAATGGTGCTGAATAGGTTACTTTTCAGCAACCCAGTTTGCTTTTGCTCCCATAGGGAATTAGGTGTTCCGTGGCACTCATTCTTCATTACATTGTGAGAAAAAAAATTTCTATTTATCATCTGTATTGAGGTCTGTACAAATACTGTACTGGGAAGAATCTAAATTAATCTTGATTATTAGGAAGCATCTAAAAAGCTGGATGTCAGTTTGAGGACTTAAGTGGCCTAAAGTTAAGTTCTAGTAACACTTTTCTTCTTGGAACTTTCTCTTGAGATTTTGTTCGAGTCATAATTTCTTAGTAATTCAAAGGATGTTGTAGGTCAAGATAAATGTGTGGTAGCAGCATGGCATATAGAAAAATTCTACAGAACTGATCTCCATTGTGTGGCTGTAGTGTGTAATAGTGTTTCCTTTTAAGCACACTAACTTCATGTTTTTAGTAATTTGTATGAAATTCCTGTCACTTATGTTTAAAGCACTGAAATAATGCTCACAGAAGCCATTTAGAGAACAAGATGTTAGCTTTCTAAAATTGGGAAACTCCTGAGACCTGCATTCCAAGTAGTTTACTTTAAATTTTTTTTTATGTGTACTTTCTTTTGATTGCAAATTGTATATTAGGGAGAATATCTGACCAATGTTTACCACTAATATAATTTTTGTTTACAGATAATTTAATTCCAAACTAATTCTGAAACTATCATTTCAGTATATGCAAAAAGCATGTTGTTTAAATTCTTGAACCTAAGGAACAGATTAAAACCAATATCTTCCAAATGTTGTAGCATCGAGCACTTGCTTTTATCAAATTGTGTCCAAGTCAAACTCGTTTGCGTAAAATCTCTCTTTGTTGGATTCTATCAGAAATGTGAAATAGAGACTTCTCAATTTCCTGTCTGCAACAGACATCACTGCACCACTGTTCCTTCCAGTAAGCATGTCAAGTATGTCATGAACAAGTTGTGCTTCTAGGGAAACTTACTGTAAATAGCAGTTGCTGGACTAGCAAACTCAACTAAATTAAGGCAAAGTGTGATAGTCAATAAAATGACAGTAGATTGTGTTAGGGCCTCTAAACATCCTTAATCACAACAGCACCTTGCAGCTTCGCTGTTCTGTAGCATCTATGACTTATTTTTGTACTATGGTTTATTAAATTTGTAAGTGTATATAAGATGTAATTGCATTTGGGTGACTTTTTGTTTGTTTCTGTGTCAAGGCATGGTTCGGAGATGTAAGGGAATAGTTAAAACCTTCTCTCCCCCACCCCAGGATTAATAAGATTTCTATTATCTAAGTTTTGTTTGAATCTCAGGTATGAGAGAAGTGAAAAACTGCTGAAAAAGCAGCATCAGCCTGAATTCTTGTGGTTCATTTTTTGTCATAGTTTTGAATATTCACAGGGTTCTTAGTAAAATTGATCACAGCTTCCTTGTGGGCTGTGGGCTTTACTATATTTTATGTTAGTTTTTCTTCTTTTTTAGAAGTCATTTTAAAGTATTCACTGTTGACTTTGCTTGGAGTAGGAGACTGAACTAGATAACTTCCTGGGGTTGCTTCCAACCTGAATTGTTCAGTGATTTGAGGTATGCAGTGGTTGTGGTAAGAAAAAAGTGTCATTAGTACAAAAGTAACAAGAACAAAAACTGTGTGACACATAGCAGCTAGTGT